GGAAAAGTTAGCTATTATTGAGGGAAGATATTAAGGCGTAAAATTATCTCGTAATTCCTTGCACGTATTTTAAAATTAATGTCATTCATCAAGCTTGTTTTGTGTAATGAATCACCCCGCGAGAATAAATCTGCGTTATGAAAAATGCAAATTTTGGGAAACTTGGCCGTCAAATTCGGTTGCCAAGGTAATATAAATGTTGACGTCCACTCACGACAACTTTAAAGTGTACCCATATACTTTCTTGGAAACGTCGCAAAGTTTGGCGGTCGAAACCTAAACGACTTTTTTTTAAGTGAGGGGGACCTCAAGAGTCCCACGGCCTGAATACGGTTGAGTTCATCTTGTTGTGGTGCTTATCAGGAGCCCGAGCTCCCTTCGTTTTAGTAACTACAGCCATATGATGTCCGCGAAAACCGCGAATTGTTTCTTTTCACCAAATAATCAGAAACCCCGCACGCCGCAAGATGGGATTTTATTAACCTCATCGCAACACAAAACAAATAAACGACACCGCAGCAACAACGTAAATCCCCATGTCCCAGTAGATTTCTGATTGCTCAGTTTCTCTCAATAGAGCTTTGGAAAAAAAAAAAACTTTCAGATAGTAGATAGATCGTCAGTGCTCTTAAATATTTTGCATTCATTTTATATTTCTCCTTCATCCGGTGGTGTAGACGGTATAATGAGTAATGATGTTCACGTAGAAAATGATGAATAATGAAAATTGGGACTCAGAAATAATGAATAAGACAGTCTAGCCATCAGAATAATATGGACAATTCAGTATAAAAAAAATGAGGTTAACTTAAAAAGAACGAAAATATTTTTACTCCCATTCAGAGCTAAAATGACTTTAATTTAAATTCAAAAACTTTTGAATATTCAGTAGGCATATTGTCTACAGTACGCATGTAATGCACGGATTCTTCTTGAGCAAGAAAGTTTATGCCTAGTAAAATAAACATTGCACGATGGCCTTTATTGTACTCCCAGTGTCACCAAAATCCAAGACTGTTCTCTAGGAAAAACAGGGGACAGTGAACAGTCTACCAGAATACATTTCGTTTTCTTCTTCGTGTTTGAATTTGGTATGTAATCCCAGCGAATATACATGTTGAAACAAAGCTGTTTAAGACACTTACAGTACGTGTTTTAAACATTACTTAAACCTTGCTCGCAATCCACTTAATCAGGAATATAAGAGGGTTCTCCGATTTAGTGGAAATCCAACCCACGAGAAATCTGACATTTTCAGTTTTCAAATGCCAATTTCCTCTCCCTTGGGTCTCCATTTTGAGTTAAATTCCCATCCCTGGGGCAAACTAATAAGCACTCATCACAACAGTCTTTATTGCAGCACAGAGCGTCTCCAGACAGAAATAATTACTTGGTGACAAAATAATGGTATCCACAAACTTTGTGCATTTCCCCAAGTGTAGAGGACGTATTCTAGCTGGATATTTAGTATAGCTAGCAATTTAACACACTTGCCATACTCCCGAAAGTACGTTTAATTGTCTCACACAGTGTTTACAGCAATGCGAAATGTGCAATGCCATCCCGAAAATGAGATGCCATCATCAAGAAGGGTTAATGTCTTAGGGCTGTTGTTTTGTACCTGTGGTCCAGAATATCATTTAATTGGACATTTTGAGTATGCTAGCAAATCTAACACAGAATTCCAGGAATCCTTCATGCCTTTTTGATCTTTCTTTTCATCAAAAACTTGAGGCAGGGCAGCATCTGGTGGAAACATGTAAGTAGAAAGCATATTTTCAAAATGAGACTTTGTGCAAGTTTTGCTTCTGAATGCTGAGGAACAAAATACTTTTTGTCATAAATTAAACCTCAAAATCTAAAAAAGCAATCATTCACTCATTCCCTAGCCTGCGAAAACATTCGTTTTCACTTTCACTTTCCAAAATGGGGGCTGAGTCAAATTTCCCACCCTGGGACGTTCAGGATGTCAAATTCCCTACCCACATGCGCTTCTCTGGGTGTAATTCCCGTGGGTTGTAATGGTTTTGACAGTTGTAATGTGTTCATCTCAGCTCTCGAACCATCAATTATTATTTTATATGTAACTTTATTCATCTATCGATTGATTTTTTACCTTTAACCCCCAGAGATTGTGCGACGTCATCGGTTGGGGAATACGTCCCCAATTTTTTCCCATTGGGTTTTTTGGGCTTTCGTATCAGGAGGCGCACGTTAATAGTTTAATAGTTTAGCCTGAGTGACTTTATTTAGGAATATTTGTATACCATTCTTTAGTTATGATGGTGAATATTTGGACGGCAATAAACACTCAGGTTCACAGTTCGAGCTGCACACCCATTCCCGTCTCTTAGTCTTGAATATAAATAGGAAAAAACATTATTTCCTTTGGCGCCAATCCACTAAAACGCAAACGAATTCCGAAATGGCGGCGGGAGTGGATACGCTTTACGGTCAGTTATTAAAGATGTAGCCTCCTTCAGGCTCCGGTTGTTCAAACGTTGGATAGCGCTATCCACCGGATAAATCGCTATCCAAAGGATAAATATTTAGGGAAAACAATTGTATTATCCACTGGATAGATTTATCCAGTGGATAGCGTTATCCATCTTTAGAACAACTGGACGCGGGGGGTCCAATTCTATCAGACCCTATGGGTGAGGCAATCGGCCTTCACGGCTTTCAAATTCTTCTGAGTTTAGTACCCTTCAGTTCGGTGAACATATACTCTGGCCGTTCCAGAGGTCCGTTCTCAAAATACCTAGGATGAAATAAACTGTGCACCGTAAATGTTAGGGAGTTATTATAACTCCAAAAATGGAGTAAAAATTTTAGGTACAAGATAACCCCTTTTTTGGGGTTACTTTAACTCCCGATTTAACTCCAAATTTGGGGTCATTTTTACTCCTGAAAAAGAGTTCTTTTTACACATAGTCTGGAGTTAAAATAACTCCGGAAATGGGGTTATTTTTACTCCTTACTTGGGTTGTTTTTACTCTTTTTGCAGTTAATTTAACTGTGAAAGTGGAGTAAAAATTTTGGGTACAGGATAACTCTTTTTTGGGGGTTATTTTAACCGCTCAATATCTGGGGTCATATTTACTCCTGAAAAAGAGTTCTTTAATCTCCTTTTTGGATTTAAAATAACTCCCCAAAAATAACTCAACTGTAAGGAGTTAAATTAACCCCACTAGAGGAGTTATTATAACTCCTTGAAAATTACTGTGTGCTTTTAACGGTTGATAAAACTCTCTCTCTTTTTCTCTTGGCGCTTTGCGACTCTCTGTCGTGCGAACTGTTACGAATTAAAAAAAAATAATAACCCTTGGAACCCAGGGTAGTGAGCATGGTGCTTGATATTTTGAACTAAGGATGCAATTATCGAACAGGAGGCTGAATGATGTTGACCTGCTTTTTATCTCTGTTTGCTCTATTGAAGCTGGTGGTACAGAGAAGAAAACCTCAGAAAATTTTGTTTAAAAACAGAATGTAGTATGAATGATAAGAGATTTCACTCATCAGCTGTTCAGTTATGGGTTTGTTGCTTATGAACAGTGTAAGAGTTTAAATTTTGTTTTTTCTCAACACGTTGCAAGAAGCTATTGGAAGTTAAAAGGGTTTATACGGGTTTTTATATTTACACAAGCACGTTTTCCGTGAAAGGTTTCCCTTGTCAAAGAAAGTGGTTAACATCTGTTCATTGGTCAGAAATAGAATGGAGCTAACAACTTGTTTGACATTAAGGGCCTGTTTACATGGAGTGGGGGACCCCGGTCTAGTGGGGTAGGTTCCTTTTGTTTTGTGTCCCCCAGAGCGTGAAAACAAAAGAAACCAACCCCACTAGACCGGGCTCCCCCACTCCATGTAAACAGGCCCTAACTGTCATACTCGTATACGTAATGGAGGTCGTTTATTCTTTATTTTTTGTACATTGCTTCGCTTCCCAGTATTAAAGGTCAATTAAATAATAATAATAATAATAATAATAATAATAATAATAATAATATTAATAATGATAATAATAGAACTAATGGAATGATAAGACAATAAACATAAAGAGTGTCTAGGTGCCTAATACGTACAAAGCCACTACTCATCGGAATTATTAGTTGAAAGTCTTAATAAAATAGGCTTAGCTTTACGTTATTAACTAACGGGGCTTTTTTTTGCTTCAAAACTGATCATGGTAATGGCCACCAAAATTACACAAGAAATGCACTGAAATAATTTCCAACTTCTAAGCATAACTTGACTGAAACAATGACGTAATACGACGTCATTATGACGTCATATTGCTAAATTTCTTGTTAGAATCCAAATTTCCCTTAACGTAGACTTAAAGCAAATTCAAAAATACTTGCATAGTAAGGTGTGTGATAAAATCAGGAAGTTGGCTAACACATGAATTATCTTTAACAATAGTAGCTCAAAACTCGGCCCCACGGTATGAATAGGGTTAAATGATTATTCCACCCTAAATTAAACTGTCTTAGCTCGAAAACGAAAGCCAATCGAGCTTCCCTTTTATCACAGTCATCATCATAGTCCACCTACACTATTAAGGTGTTTTAGAGCTATTTAGCAAAGTATTTCATTGGTTTTATACTTAAGGACCTTCACTAGCTACAGAACAAGCAGAACAAATAAGTCAAACTGGAGTCTACTTTTCACATTTGCTATGTCGGGCCTTCTAACTCGCTGAACTCCCACACAAATATAGCGTGGTGACTCAAACATTAGCTGAAGATAAAATGTTAACCGTACGTACTAAAGGATTATAGTCGATGGATTCTGCGGCGGAAGATCTCAAAGATCGAAAAGGGGGCCTCGATATTTTGCTCGTACGTGGCCGCAGTCAGTCTTTTTTTCTGTTTTGTTTTGTTTTTTTTCTTTTTTTTTTTGCATATAATCTGCGAAACTTGAACTCTTGCGAAAGAATAATCGTCGTGGTTACTAGCATAATCAAGGTTAACGTTTTCTTTACTATTCGTGAAGTATTTCTAAGAAAATGACGACCGCAGTTTTCTTTTGAGACTGTCTTTTGCACTACTCGTACGTAAAAATATCTCCGATAATGACCTTTTCCTGTCCAAAGCAGAACCAAGGTTAGCAACGGTTTTGGGTTCGCTATCCTTTTCCTTGGTCTTGGAATCCGAAAATCGAATATAGGCTCGGTCGCTATGCACCGACCCTTTTGAGGATCTCTTATACATAGAATTAGTTGATTCTGAGGAGATGTTATCGTTAGAATCTCTCACTGGTATCGCTTGATCAATAGGGCAGATATCGGTTTGATCGTCCTCCTCGAAGGCAGGGTTACAAAGCTCTGCTGGAGAGACGGAAGCCTCGGAAGACGAAGTCCAGACACTCGTACTGGAAGTAAATTCATTTGAAGTGCGAAAGGCGTCAACGTTTATCGATAGCAGACCATTTGCCACACTTTTCTTTGGTGTAAATTTAAGCTTAATCGGCTTGCTGCGTCCGCTTTGTATCGCCTTACGGTAGCTGTCCCGCATGTCAAACATTCCAAGCGGTACGTTGGAAGGGAAAATGACTGATCGCGAGTTTTCAAAGCTTGATTCTCGGCGTAAGTAAGCGCTTCGTACCGTGCGTCCGTACGCGCTCTTGCTGTAATCTGACAGCCGCACCTTTTTACAGCACAATCCGAGTAAAATTTTTCGAAACGCTCGCCGAAAATCTTTGTTGCGGAAGCCATAAATAACGGGATTACAAACCGAATTCCCGTACTGAAGCCACTTGCTTACGGAAAAAATCCACTTTGGCAAAGTCATAAGGCCTGGACAACCAGCTCCCTTGAACAGTGTGGCTATACAAACCGCGAACGCGAAGTTGAAGCCAAAAAATGGAGTCCAGCAGATGACAAAAAGGCCAATGACTACGGCTACTGTTGTAGCAATGCGCAAATCCTGAAACAAAAGCAACATCGTTAAATTGTGGCTTATAATAAAATCATTAAAGCATACCAAACACGGTGTGAAAAGAACGTCCATTTCAATGGTAAAAACGACAAATAATCTACTCATGTGTGCAAAAATTCAGATCAATCAAAAGATTGAAGGCAGAAAAAGAGAGCAAAGAAAAAAAACATCAAGAACAACAACAGAAGACAAGCGTCAGTGAAAATTATCTGACCAACGAGAAAATTCACTTTGTCTTAGTCTTTGTCAGTCGTACTTCTTTATAGTTTTTTTTTTGTGGTCTCCCGTCAAGTGACTATCATATTGCGCTGTTCAATGTGCGTTTCTTTGTGTTGCGCACACCACTGTTGGTTAGCCGTCATTAGTAATGTTTCTTTTTCATTAGTAATATTGTATGTGTACGTGTATGTGTACGTCACTCCATGAAACTGATTAAGAACTGTTTGTTGCTAATGTTTGTAGAGATTTGACAGTGTTGACCCTACATTAAAGGGGGATAGTGCACGTGCCTAAAATCAACACCAATATTAAGCGTCATTGAATAGTCAAGTAATGAAAGATAACGTGGTCGACAAAATCCGACGACTGATGAACGCGATGCGACGAGGGCGGTTAGAGTATTTGGAAGTGTTTTGATTTGCTGTCCCTGTACAGTTTTAACAACTTGTATTTGTGTAGTGTATTTATCATGCTAAGTTACTTTATATCTTCCACAGGGAATGCATGGAAACTTCTTTACGGTGCGAATACCAAAGGGACAAAGTCATAAGTCCGCACAATTAAGGTGTCCATTATTATACCCATAGGAACTGTATGAAGTGTACTATCTTTGGGAGCAAGTGAGCTGTAAGTAATAGAGCTGTCTGTCAGAAGAGGTTTGACTATATCCCGGAAATCATTTCCCTCAGTTACTGTAAAACTTCTGAAATGAATTAAGCGGTTACCTCCATTAGGCGGTTACGTTACTATTAGACGGTCACTTTGACAATATGCACAATGTTGGCGTTTACTGGTCTCTTACTTCCTTTTCTGGCACAAGAAAAGGTAGAGGCACTTTGAGGTAGTTTTGTCGCGGGTTCGCTCTTTCACCATCTTTATTTGCTTGAACAACTCTCAGGTTTGTCAAAGTTGTATTAAACCGTCAAACTGTATTAAGCGGTCGGTAAGCCATTCCCAAAGGGTGACTGCATAATACAGGTTTGACTGTATATATGTTTCTTAATAACGTTAGGTATAATTTTCATGAGATTGTAACATATTACCAAAACATGGACTATGATCACTGGCATTCAGCACTGGGTACAGTCGAGAAAAAGTAGACATGACAATGATCATACAGACTGCGGTCCAGTGGTAGATTTCCCGTGACTATCAATAGCAATAGCATAGCATAGTACCTTTTTGAACGAACTGACGCCTCTGCCTCGTGCATGCGCTCTAGCTATGTGAAAGATCGTACCATAAGCTACCAAAATAACGATGAGTGGTGTGAAGAAGAATGCGACAGTTACAATTATGCCATAGAATTTCTNATCACTGGCATTCAGCACTGGGTACAGTCGAGAAAAAGTAGACATGACAATGATCATACAGACTGCGGTCCAGTGGTAGATTTCCCGTGACTATCAATAGCAATAGCATAGCATAGTACCTTTTTGAACGAACTGACGCCTCTGCCTCGTGCATGCGCTCTAGCTATGTGAAAGATCGTACCATAAGCTACCAAAATAACGATGAGTGGTGTGAAGAAGAATGCGACAGTTACAATTATGCCATAGAATTTCTTTTGTTCCAAGGGTAGAAATTCTATCATTGATCCAGCTAATGACGACAGAATCCATACAACGACGATTATGGCTACCACAGACCCTGTAAACAGCAAATAGACAAATGGTCAAAAGGTGACTCATAACTTATTGGACGGTTTAGTATGTAATATTATAAAATAACTAAGATAGTACGCGCGCTCTGACTGGCCGAGAGGAGTGTTTGCATGAGAGTATGTAAACATGGTTGTGGCGTCAAGATGTTTTACTTTTCGCCCCCTGATCACGCAAGCACGAATTTGAAAAAGTTTTCGAGTTCAAAACTCCACAAGTTTACTTTATTTACCCATTCCTTCGTCGACTGAAACTTGGAAAATCGTTACAAAGAAGGTGTGTCAATTTTTCGTCGCTTAAGCTGACATTTTAAGCGAGAAAAATTCGTATTTTGGAAAGCATCTTTTTGCACAACAAGAACTGATTACTCATTCCTTGGTATTTAATGTACTCTTTTCAAGTTTGAATTTCTGTGTTGGCGATATATATCAAACACATAAAAACAACCGAAAATAAGCTTGATCTCTAATGCATACTTCGAAAACGATGGGCGTTATTTTGTATCTCGCCCCAGTCCCCGTCGCGCAAATTATCCATTCCGACTGCGATCTCAAAACCATGTTCACCTTTCACAGCAGTTTTTGAGGAAACAAGCACGGTGAACCTCGATTTTTTCCCCAAGTATTTTGCTAAAAATAGTCTAATAAAGAACATATTTGAAAAACAAAAAAGTTTGATAGTAGAACATGATTTTTTTGGGGGAAAATATTTTCGTATTTGGTGTATTTGGGTCAAGGCGAGGACATCAAGCTAACCACGGAACTGTCCGAAAAAAGCAATATCCCCACAACCAGCCAATCAAAAACGAATTAAATAAAGCAATACTGCTTATTTGAATAAGAGACGCTTTATGTTCAAGATAAAATTTTGTGTGTTTCAAGAAACAAAGACTTAATTCTGTAAGAAGGGGATTCGAATTTTAATGCACGACCAGTAAAAATACCCCAGTTTAAGAGTCTGCTGACGTGTAAACAAGCAAGGTGACCCAATCTTTTTATTGAATTTTTGTTATGTTCATATCATGAATGTTGATTATACCAAGTTTCAAAAAAGGTTTGATAGTAGAAAAATTTCAAGGGAATTACCTAACATAACATCATGTTAAAAATCCCAGCTGGTAGGAGGCGAACCAGTTGGCTATTTCACAAGCGTGCCACTAGCTTCCCAGCTAGTAGTCAAGGCGGGACTTGAACTCGGAGCCACCGAATTTTAAGTCCCGCGCTCTAAACGCTCGGCCTCCCTGAAGTACAAGTAAGGAATATTGTGACTTACGTTTTCTGATGTTTCGATGCTTTATCGGGTGCAGTAGAGCATAACACCTCTCTAGGCTGATGGCAGTGAGATTTAGGATGGAAGACACGCTGCAGATGACATCAAAAATCAAATAAAAATCATACAATGGACCTCTAAAGGTATATGTCACAGATATATAAACCCATAGCGGCACAGAGACCGTTCCGATCAGCAAATCAGCGATGGCTAAGGACATCAATAGCAGATTGGTTGTCGTGCGAAGTCGTCTGTTAACGCGAAATGCACCGATAACTAGCGAGTTTCCAAACACAATCATCAAGGCAAGGATGCAAAAGAAGACCATAGCAACGACGTCAACTTGGGGGAAAGGAGGAGGTCGGGGTCCAGCTCCAGCTCCAGCTCCAGTGCCATTTGTGCTGTTTGTCGCGTTCGTAAATGTGTTGTTGTTTAACATTGCGGTCTTCAGGTAGCCTAAATAATAAAGTAACACGAAATACATTTAGTGCGTAAAATGGATTAGACTTATCAAAAGACGGTTTCAAATTAGAACACTTCACATAAATATAAACTGAATATAAAGTATTAATTCACTGACTTGGCTCTATGGTAGTCAGTTTCCAAGGAGTACCCCTAAAAGTTCAATCCATTAAGTATTAGCAGGCGTAAGCTGAATTCGCTTATTTCTGTGCAATGTAATGCCGTTAGTTATTTGCAACAATTAGGAGATCACTTTGAATTCTTGTGGTTTAAAACAAACCCTTGTAACCTTCGACGTTTTTCCCTCAATGAAAAGAGCACCAGGTTAAGTGGCTTTTTGCAAGTTTGAAGCCTTAACTTTAAAATTATAATACATTCTGTTCACGTTTTCAATTGGTTAAACGCACTGAGTGCAATGACATAATAAGCCATCCGAATGATCTGAGCACATGTCAGCTGATAACTGAGTTGTAAGCTTGGCGGTGTTTTTGTTCACTAAATACTAAATTGAATAAGATTCTGGTGACGTCACGAAACATGAGGTAAGCCTTGATTTTTACCCGGATTCAAATTCGACGTTCTGCCTTATATATTCATTAGAAGCGAGGCTTTCCTACCGAGTGGAACAAAGAACGAAGTTCATTTGATATGATTACACCTTTTTTTCGTCACCATGACTGAAAGATCCTTTTAAAGCTAAACGATTTCAATGTTTTGTGGCCAGGCAATTTTAACGCTCAAAATTGACGATTCACCTACATTTGGTAATCGACAACTTTGCGTTCGCAAAAAAAATAAAATAAAATAAAAAAATCTTTCAAAACTATTATCGGTATCTAGCTCTTGTTTAGCCGTATATGAGAGCTCATCAAGAGCTTTACCCAAACGCTGAGATGACAGCTTAATGGTTGGCTATCTTTTCTTTGGTCTAAAACGTAACTTTAAGACCTGCAAGGTCACAAATTAGACAATATTAAACTGAACACAAGAGGATCATTTCATCCAGTTCAAAAAGTGATAAGTGAATCATCGTTTTTGATAGTTTCCCCGACAAATGGGTCGGTTTTTTACGTGATCTGCCTCTTACAGGTGCGTATGTATATTAATTTCCTCCTAATACCGAAATCCGCTTATTTTCCATTGCCAGTTATTTTAATTTGTTTTAAGACCCTTCAGTGATTAAAATCGCCAAATCACAAGATTTTTTGACGTGTATAATTGCCATGCTAAAAAATTTTTATGCTTTAAAAGTCATCTTCTGATGTTCAACCCCAAACAACAGATCCACATGTAGCTAACAGTACAAAAAGACATGCCAACAAATTAAATGATATGAAAAACAAACTGAATAAGATTCTCTCTACTAAACTGAAGAATTACATGCTTTATTTGGATACTAAATACTATGCAAAGATCAATTTTGATTTTTTTCTCCCTCAGGCATCGGCGGACCGCGTAATCTTGCGGTTAAAAAATTGCAGTTTACCGCTAATTGAATCTCCAATTTTGAATGAAAAAAGTAGTAATTATTAAAAAGGGAAGAACTGTTTCGACTGTTTGGAGATAAAATTTTATAGAAGTTAAAAAAAAGAATAAAATAATGATAATGATATTGCAGGCACCATATGACTTTCCAAAAGTACGGCGTATCCTACCTTTGTGAGTAAGGGCATAGCAAAGCAAAAGCGGTGTCTCTTTTATGACTTTATTAGAAAAGATTAACTGGACCGTGCTTAAAATTGTTCAAGCAGATTGCTTTTCGTTTTATATAGTTTTCCCTGCTTCACTAAGAATTCAGCAAAAGTTTGATCTCTTAGAAGAGTTCGACAGCGACACGCAATGCTGGGAAAAACAAACAAACAAACAAACTAAAATCAAACGATGACTGAGTTGTATTAAAAGACAAACTCTTGTTTTCTGGCTTTTCAGAAAAGTAACCCTAATATATGTCTTTTTAAAGCCGTTTTATTCGGAAAATATAGTATACGGACTACATCTCATGATCACAAAACTTACTAAATGAAAAGTGAATTTAGTTTAGAATCACATGTTTTGCCGTTCTAGAAAATCACGTGTACTGTAATAGTTTTCGCCGAAATACACGGTGCCAAATTTGCCGCTCTGCCATTGGTCAAGCCAGTTGTTTAATTTGCGCTCGCCGTCGTCAACTGACGTTCCCGTTCTGTTGCTAAATCAGCCTAATTATTTACTTCAGTCTGAGTAAGTGCAACTCCTCGCTTCGACGAAGAGCGGCCGAAACGTCTTTGAGATGTGACGCCGGGTCCACTTTTCGACACTTCCAAGACCGGAGGCGAAGTCACCGTATCATGTGTGAACAAAAGCCCCATCCGGTATGGTTGTCAGCCCAAAAGCTATCCGCTTCAGTGTGAACATGGCCTTAATGAGTGTGTTTACTTACAACAGGAACGGGTGACAAACTCAAGGGAAGTGACTTTACGCGCACGCTATATATATTTCATTGGTCAGAAATGGAAACATATCAAACTGCTTTGTCTGGTAAATAGAGTTTTTCAGAGTTTTCGTCAAAGCCTTGAGAAAAAAACATTTGTGTACAAGGAAAAAAAGAGATGAGGCTTACCAGAACGGTTTTCACATTAATCTCAGAGGAGAGAAAACTCAATTGAATAAATTCCAGTACTAAGAAGGAAAGTTTTTTCGCAAATTTAAGGAATTTCAACTGAAGAGAAACTTGCCAACAGCGAAATGATAATCCATCTTTCATACATACACTGTTTACATGAATGTAGCCATTACGACACCCGGAGGAGGATCATTCCCTATATTAAGATTTCTCCTCACAGATAACCCACCCAGCCCAGGAAAGGTTGGTTACACCACCGGGGTCTGCGTCGTCTATACTGTTTTTGAACAGTGGTGTGGCTTCTTTTATGTCCCCCAAGAATCAGACAAGAAAAGCGCTATAAGACGAGACCTGCAGTTTTTCATCTCTATCCGAGAAGACTGAAAAGTCTAAACATTTGCAGATGTCCTTTCAAAGGCAGCACTTTCTTCTCAGTTACTTCTGAAGACCCTGAGGGTCGGTTGGGGTTTGAACCCGCGACCTCCCACCCAGCAGGCCAGCGCTCTCCCAACTGAGCTAACCAGGGGGCGGAAATTTATTTCAGGAATTGGAAAATAAAAAACGTCTTTAAAGTTTGTCATGTTGGATTTCCGTTAACCAATTCGGAAATGCATTAGCAATTGTTCGGTGGGCCTGAATATCTAAATGGACCATGTTTCTTTGACAGATTGTTTTCATCTCTTTTACACATTCAAGTGCTTCTTCTTGCTCTTTCTCGCATCTTGTTAAATTCCGTTAATTTTTTTTTTTTAGTACGACAGATCGTACCCGTATTAGTAAAGTAAATTTAATGATCCTCTCCCCTTAAGGGGTTTTTCAAATAATTTAAATTGAACATAACATGGTTAAAAATCCCAACTGGTAGGGGACGAACCAGTTGCCCAATTTACAAGCTGGCCGGTGATTTGAACTCGGGATTACAGAGAACAAATCCAGCTAGTGGTCAGGGCGGGAACTGAACTCGGGGCCTCCGAATTTCAAGTCCAGCGCTCTGACCGCTCGGCCTCCCTGAAGAACAAGTAAGGAATATTGTGACTTACGTTTTCTGATGTTTCGATGCTTTATCGGGTGAAGTAGAGCATAACACCTCTCTAGGCTGATGGCAGTGAGATTTAGGATCGAAGACACGCCGCAGATGACATCAAAAATCCTATAGAAAATATACAAAGGACCTTTATAGTTATATGTTATAGATATATAAACCCAGAGCGGCACAGAGATCGTTCCTATCAGCATATCAGCTATGGCTAAGGACATCAATAGTAGATTGGTTGTCGTCCGAAGTCGTCTGTTAACGCGAAATGCACCGATAACTAGCGAGTTTCCAAACACAATCATCAAGGCAAGGATGCAAAAGAAGACCATAGCAACGACGTCAACTTGGGGGAAAGGAGAAGGTCGGGGTCCAGGTCCAGGTCCAGTGCCATTTGTGCTGTTTGTCGCGTTCTTAAATGTGGTGTTTTTTAACATTGCCGTCTTGAGGTAGCCTAAATAATAAAGTAACAGGAAACACATTTAGTACGTAAAATGGATGAGACATATCAGAGATGCTTTCAAATCAGAACACTTCACATAAATATAAACTGAATATAAAGTATTAATTCACTGACTTGGCTCTATGGTAGTCAGTTTCCAAGGAGTACCCCTAAAAGTTCAATCCATTGAGTATTAGCAGGCGTAAGCTGAATTTGCTTATTTCTGTCCTATGTAATGCCGTTAGTAATTTGTAACAATTAGGAGATCACTTTGAATTCTTACTTCTGGTTTAAAGCAAACCCTTATAACCTTCGACGTTTTTCCCTCAATGGAAAGAGCACCAGGTTCAGTGGCTTTATGCAAGTTTGAAGCCTTAATTTCAAAATTATAATACATTCTGTTCACGTTTTCGAGTGGTTAAACGCATTGAGTGCAATGACATAATAAGCCATCCGAATGATCTGAGCAAATGTTAGTTGATAATTGAATTTTAAGCTTGGCGGTGTTTTTGTTCACTAAATACTAAATTGAACAAGACTATGGTGACGTCACGAACCATGAGGTAAGCCTTGATTTTTACCCGGATTCAAATTCGACGTTCTGCCTTATATATTCAATAGAAGCGAGGCTTTCCTACCGAGTCGAACAAAGAACGAAGTTCATTTGATATGATGACACCTTTTTTTCGTCACCATGATTGAAAGATCCTTTTAAAGCTAAACGATTTCAATGTTTTGTGGGCCAGGCAATTTTAACGCTCAAAATTGACGATTCAACTACATTTGGTAATCGACAACTTTGCGTTTGCCAAAAAAAAAAAATCTTTCAAAATA